TTAATTTACAATATATCCCAAAATATGTTTTTCTTGATGTTGCTTGAATTTGGGGAATTGTCATCTGTGAGGGTGATACATAGAAATGTAAGACATGGAAGGTAAGGTATAAACTTGGTTTACACAGCATGCTTAAACATAGTTTATTGAATAAATCATATGGGGTAGCTTTGCAGTGTTTTAGCTCACTGAATAAACTAGGCCACAGATTCTTTTTATCATGAGTATCACACCATCTTTTCAGACTGTGACATCTGTTCAAAACTCATATTTGCTGTAATGAGAAAGAACAACTGGGTCAGGCTGAGGCAGGAATTAACATATACTAAATTAAAACCAAACAAACTACCTTGTGGATCAATGTAATGTGTCAATTTAATTGTAGTTTGTAAACTATAGTTTATAACTTCATATGATACGTGAACAAAGTCTGCTTGTAGGCCACGCGGTTTGCAATCTCAGAAAGGGTTAATGTTTTAAAGCCACAGAATATTTTACCTACTAGAGTTTTCTTGGAAGGCTTTTCTGCATGAATATAATATCCAAAATACTTTTAACCATTAAGAAAATTAAAAATAATTGTTTATGTGTGGTACTTCTTTAATGACCACTCATTCAGCAACTATTCAAAATGGTGCTGAACAAATGGTAGCTATGACTAGTCCTTATACTTAACATTGGCTATGGTTTTCCTGTGGTCACATGATCACAATCCAGGCATTTGGTGCCAAGCTTGTAATTATGTTACAGCATCCCACAGTCACATGATCAATTTGTATTCCCCAATGGGGGCCAACTTACTTTCTTGTAATCCTTCCCACTCCAATCTCTTCACTCCACAAGGAAGGGGAAAAAGAAAAACAGGTTAGACTCAGGACAATGTGTATTGACTATAATGGTTATAACCTGACTGAAGGACACTGCAAAAGTTTTAAATGCAGGCATTTGTCATAAAGTTAGTTTTGGCAACATTATAACTTTGAATGGTTGCTGAAAGAGCAGTTGCTAAGAGAGAACTACTGTGTGTGCGTGCGTGTGTGTGTATACATACATACATACATACATACCGAGAGAGAGAGAGAGAGAGAGAGAGAGAGAGAGAGAGAGAGAGAGAGAGAGAGAGAGAGAGATGCTCTTCAGCCATCAGAACTGCATAAGTTCTAGTGTATTTGCATAAATACTTAAATATAGTTGTAAATGGATTACATGTCTTCAGTGGATATTTTCATCTGAATCCTGAATAATAAAATGCAGGCATTATTCCTGCTGTAATAAACTTACTGTGTTATATCGCTTTTGCTGATCATAGCATAAACCTTATTCTAAGATTTGCCCTACCTGGACCAGCTTTTGAATGCAAGTGCTCTTTTATGATTGATATTCCTCTAATATATGCTCTACAGATCTCAATTCCCACAAATACTGTATCTGAATAATTTTTACAAATTCTCCACCCACTGTATCCACTTAAGAGTTGAAAATCACCGAACATGTCTGTGCATCTTTCCCCTTCATTTTGTAATTGTTTGTCTCAAGAGTAATAAAGTAATATGTGTGGGCATAAACAATCTAAAAGGGCTGTCTGTGTGCTTTAAAAATTTGAAAAATATGTTAAGAGTAAGAGAAATGATAATATTATGTAAAGCAAACAAACCTTGAAATTCCAAATAAACCAGGCAAATGGTTGACATATAAACTAAAAAAATGATATTGAAATCTCAATAGGAAGATAGAGTATTAATGGATAATGGCTATGCAAAAAGGATTTCATCAGTATTACCCTAATTTGTATAAAGGACATGACATTTATGTAGAAAAAATGAATGAATATCTAAAAAAGGATTACAAACAGAGACAAATTCTGAATGGACCTATAACTATAAGGGAAATCTCTGAAGCTATAAAAGAAAGATTAAACCAGGAAAAGTGCCTGGACCAGATGGATTATCGTGTCTTTATTATAAATGTTTTGAGCATCAACTTTTACAACTTCTACAAAAGATGATGAATTCTATCCTATAGGGTGGAAAGATGTCAGGATTTGGGAAGAAGCTTTAGTACCTAAAGTCTTTAACAAAAGCTATGGGCCAATATTGGTATTGATTAAGTTTTTCACAACATTTCTACTTGGTAGATTGAAGAATGTATTCTCCAGGGCCATTGTGGGTTTTTAACAAAAAAGAAGAGCAAAGAACAACATTAGAACTGTGCCAAATATTTTACGATGTTTTTTGCCTTTGTGGAGCCAGGGTGAGTGTGACCTGCCCATGATGCATCCAGCTCGCAGGCCGCCAGTTTGACACCTCTGATCTAAAAAAATATTCTTTAGTCTCAAAGGTTTGCTGTTGTTTCAGTAATAAAACAAATAGGAGGAATGGATAAAAAAATATCAACTGAATAGTCAAACAACCATGCTATTTTATTAGATTACAGTATTGGTTCCAATTCCTTTTTGAGTAATTTTATGGGTTGCACCAATCCTTTTTATTCACAATCGTATACAATAATAAATAATATTAATTCTGTTTTCTTTCATTTTAGGTACAGTATACTCTGCAGTATAAAGGCATTATGTACTCAGAGTGGAGGTCTCTACATCTTGTAATTCAAAATGATAAAGGTCACACCAGCGTACTTCACAGTTATCCTGAAAATGTGGGAAGGGAGGTGGCAAATGCTGTTGTCCGTCCTCTTGGCCAAATCTTGAATTTGTCTGGAAATGAAAGCTTACTAAAAACTGACAAAGAAGTAAGTATCCATCTGCCCAAGTTTTAATTCCACTTTCTGTGTATATCAATAAGGTTGTTTCTCTAATTTAAAAATAACAGTGCTGAGAAACAGACATTGTTATGCATTCTGACAGAATGAACACTGTGCCCTAGAATCGGACAAGGAAACCTTTACCTTTTTTTAGTGTGGCTTGTACACTATAGTATATGGCTTTAGATATGAACCAGACCAGTAAGCTTCTTCATTAAAGCATAGTTAGAATTAAATATGGCTTGGCAAATATGTAAATTTAACCAGTTGCACTCGTGGGAGCAAAAATGGTGAAAGTCAGGGATGGCGGCAGATAGGCATGTGGGCAGAGCTGAAGAATCCCTGCAGTCATACGTGATGGTGGACTGCTAGGTGGACCAATTTTTATTATGAGGGGCATTGCAACAGCCGTACATTCAGGGACTTGGGAGTAAGAATTATTTGTTCAGCACTGTTGTAACTTCAGATGACCGCTGAACAAATGTTCATAATTTGAGGACTGCCTGTAATATGTTATTGGGCACAGATCCCGTCAAGCTAATAGAACAAGAGATTTAGTTACAAATCTACATCAGATTATGGACAATATCTATTTCACTGTGGAATACATTTCCATTTCTTGGCTCAGTGAGCCAGTGTTGTCCAAAGATATTTTTCGTGGTCATGTGGCCAGCGTAGCTATATGCTAAAGGCACACAGAACACTGTTATCTTCCTACTGAAATGGTACCCATTAATCTACTTGCATTTGCATGCTTTCAAACTGCTAAGTGGGCAAACCACACTGGTGAGGTTCAAACAATTTTAGTGAATTCTGACTATAGTTTGCCATTAGAACATGATTACTGTGTTCATATTGGTACTCTGTGCTCAAATCATATACCTCACATGTCATGCAGCAATTGATATGATTATTGATAATTTCAGCTTAAATTATAGTTAATTATCAGTGAGATGGAATTTGTCCAGTTTTGGAGAATTCCCCTCCTTTTTTCCATTCCCCTTTCCTCTATTCAAAAGCCATATGTCTAAAGGAATTACATTGTGAAATTGATGGGTATACTTACACACTACTCACCTAAAGAGCCCATTCAGACATGGGGGACATATATAGGGTCCCCCTAGCCAGTTTCCTCAGACTGAGGAAGCTACTTCGATAAATAGCAAAATGTTTCAAATCAACAAAAAGAGTCCAATTTCCATGACTGAACTTCCAGACAACTGTACCGGGACGACTGAGAATCTTTATCAACATCTTGTGTTGTTGTGTCTGTAAAGTTCAGTTTTTGTTTCATCAGTCCAGAGCACTTTCTTCCAAAAAAAAAAAGAGGTTCATCAAAGTTTTTTTTTTGTATACGTGAAACAATTGATTTTTGTAATGAGTTCAGAAAATAATTTTCTCTGACAACTCTCCCATGCATATTTGTGTAAACAATTTTGTATGAGGATTTGTGGAAAACTGCACAAAACTATACAGGAGATCTTTTGCAGAGTTCTGTGGGTTCTGTTTCGCAACTCTGTCCCATTTTTGAACTGTCCTAGTAGATATTTTTCTTGGTCTTCCAGAACTTCCCTTCAACTATTCCATGTAATTCTGTTTCATTTACAATGTTTCTGGCACCTGAAATTAACCAGATGGAAATATTTAGAGATATTTTTATAGTCTCACACTCCTTTAAAACAGTGAATTATCGTCTTTCAAATATTCAGACAGCTGCCTAGAAAAGCTTGTGATTGTTGAAAACAGAGCAACAATCTCAAGAGTTAAAGTAACAATAGTTTTTTATTCACCTGATTAATTGTAGACCTAGTGAATCAATCACCTTTTGGTCTCTATTAATAACTTTACAGTAAAATAGAAGTAAAAGAACAAAAAAGTACTAAATCAACTAGAAGCCTTTTCAAAGTTCTGCACATCACATATCGCCACTATTTTGAATCTGTAAATACATGGATGTAAATAATAAGTATACATTTAAATCTGCAAAACCATGTCATGTTTAACTTTGTACCATGTACAGGCATATTAAGTTCTATTCACTGAAACATACAAACAATATAGTTTGTAGTCCACTGCTATACATAATATTTCTAGACCCAAGTATTTTGAATATAGCTGAAAAAGAACTGGATTTTGTTTTTCAAACTTGATTACCTATATTTTTGCTACTGCTGGTATTAATACTGCTGTATTTTTATTTCCTTAGGTAAAATGGACAATGGAGGTGGTTTGCTATGGGCTGACTCTCCCTTTGGATGGTGAGACAGTGAAATACTGTGTTGATGTATATACAGATTGGATTATGGCTCTGGTTATACCGAAAGATACAATTCCTCCACCTGTTATTAAAGAACCAAATCTTTATGTTCAGAGCATTCTCAAACATCTACAGAACCTCTTTGTACCTAGGTAAGTAATGTAGACCACATAATTTTATGCCTCTATAATTATTAATCAATACAATATAATAGTCCATACAATCATCCATCAAAACTATAGCTAATCCCTGTTTTAGATTACTCATTAATTATAGAAAAATCTTGGTAACGTCTGTTTTAGAAAAGTGTTTTAATTAGTATTTATGTTTTTGAGTCAGTAAAAAAATTATTCTTTAACATTTGTTTGCAAATTTTTAACTATCTTAAACTCTGCAACAAATTGCCAGCAGTTGAAGTAAAATATTTAAGGTAAAAATATAATGCCCTATGTGTTTCAAACTCTTCTTCCATAAACAGGATCTCAGAAAATGGTATATTTTTAGAAGAACTAACAGGTATTTTGAATTCAACTAGGTGGCTTAGAGATTTCAAATTACTCCATTGACTGCTGACTTTAGATGCTTTGAAAACCTCTTTTATAACTAACCTCTCTTAATCCTGCTGGCAGGCCCTTGACAGTATATTACAACTAGGGAACAAGAGTCATATGGAGTTTTATTAATCAGGTTTAATGTCAAGAAATAAGATATTAGAATAGAGAATTTTGGAAATGCAAGATTAGAAATCAGTTCAACAGAACTCCCACTCTCATTTAAGAAATAATTTGTTAAGTGAATCTGTTTTTCCTCAAATACAAATCTGAAGTTTTATGTACCCTTTCCCCAGTATTATAATATCAATTTGCTGTTGAAATACTCCCTCTTGTTTCCCAACTTCAGTCTTTGCAGATACTTTTTGCAGTTTGTGTTGTTAAGGTGTGTTTTCTTCCTTATAGGCAGGATCAAGGTTCCAGTCAGATTAAATTGTGTTTGCAAGTTTTGAAAGCTGTCCAGAAATTGGCTCATGAATCAACCATTATGGCTAGAGAAACATGGGAAGTTTTATTATTGTTTCTCCTGCAGATTAATGATACTCTACTGGCACCTCCAACAGTACAAGGTTTCTTATTTATTACTTCCAAATATTTTTTTAGCTAGAGATTATATAATTAAGAACATTATCCTGTTTTTTCTTACTGTTTTAATATTTTAAAGCATCATTATCCTAAAATGATGTTGAAATGTTAGACTTGTCTAATATTCAGAAAACAAAGTATTTTTTGATGAATTAATATTTATCACTAATTCGTTGATATCAATATAATGTTTTGAAGGATTTGGGATGTTATGTGTGAGTCTCAGATCAAAATCTAATCTACATTGCAATAGACCCAAAGATTTCTCATATCCACAATCCTGGAAATAAAACACTGTTTCTTCTATGTGTTAATTCCAAGAACTTGTCCTAACCTTAGTGGAGACAAATAATAACTTTCCAATAAGGCCCATGAATTTATTTCATGTACACTGGAGTATTTTTTTATTGTGCATATTTATGGCTGATAAAATATTAGCCCAGTTATATTTTTGCAAGTCCGATAAATTAAAACAGTCATCCACAAATGTTAATCTCAATTTAGCTAATGAGATTCACGGATATCTGTTTTGTGAATAACTTGTTGTTTTTACAAATATATATATCTGGAATTAACATTGGGATACCTCTCAAGACATTATTCAGAAGAGGGAATGTATTCATTTTAATAGTATTAATTATATCCTACAAATTTAATAACATTTTAATATATCCATTAACATCCAAATCAATCTATACTAAAAATTTCAGTATTTTTATTTCCATATTAGAAGTATTGTTGGAAATAACATATTCAAGTATTTAATATATACATGAAGTTTGCATATAGTTCTAAATAAAGCTGACTATTCTAGTATATGATCATAAGACTATGTCATAGGGCAGTATACAATGCGAATAATTAGTACCTAGATGGATCACAATTATCTCTTAAATTAAAAATAGTAGAGGATTCCTTCCAAGAAAGATTTTTAAAATAGCTTTTGCTTTGTTAGGTGGTATTGCTGAAAATCTGGCTGAAAAACTGATTGGTGTATTGTTTGAAGTCTGGTTGCTAGCCTGTTCTCGATGTTTTCCTACACCACCTTATTGGAAAACTGCCAAAGAGATGGTAGCAAATTGGAGGCACCATTCTGCAGTGGTAGAGCAGTGGAGTAAAGTCATCTGTGCACTTACTGCTAGGTAGGCTACCTCTTTTTTCATTATTCAGTTTGACATTACTAAATGATGCAGTTGATATTAATATTTCACGAGATTCCCTTGGACATTGCTCTTTCTATTCAAATGGACTTTTACCACATCTGAATTATTTATTAATTATTACACATTTACTATGTGTAAACTTTTAAATTTGTTCTTAAATTTAATTTCTCTGAGTAAACTGGGTTCTGGGTGGTCACAAAGCAGAATGCAGATCAGAACTCCCATTATTTGTTATTTTGTATATATTTTTTTTGAAATAGAAAATTGGCCTGTCATGAAGAGTCATGCAAAATAATTATGTAATACAGCATTTTTATTGTTATTATTCTAAAAAGAAACCTATTGCTAGGATTCTGAATGGGTGCTAGGCATATTCTTCTGCCTTTGTCAACTATTATACCACAAAAACTTTGCAAAAAATACATGGATAGATCTTAAAGACTTTTTATGTGTATGAAGAGGCTGTATATGTTATTTTTGTAAGCTCTTCTTTGTTTTTCATAATCACTGCAATATTAAGAATAACTGCACTGTATGAGTATTACCATTTGAGCAAGGATGTTTCATGTCACTATATAACCAGTTAATTCTTTGTTTAAATTTCCTTTTTATTGGAGTACAAATCAACTGTTAACTGTAATTTTGCTTGGTCTAAAAGAAGTACTTCATGAAATGTTTAAGTGTTAAAACATAATTAGGTTGATTAGAATTTGGATGTTTACATGATATTTATAAGGATTTTGTTCAGCAAATGCCTCCATTGAAATATGGATACTAATATATGTACTGAAATCAGTCAGAACTCTAAAACCATTAAATTTTTTGTTCCTAGATTGTTGCGTTTTACATATGGACCTTCATTTCCACCTTTTAAAATTCCTGATGAAGATGCAAACTTGATACCTCCTGAAATGGATAACGAATGTGTTGCCCAAACTTGGTTTCGCTTTTTACATATGCTGAGGTATTGTACAGAAGAGAAATCATGTCATGTTACTAGCGAGTTTACTTGGATCTGTTATGTATGAGTCTTTTTGAGTCAAAGTTTATTGAAATATGTTGGCCTTGTTGTGAAGTAGCTTTGTAATAGTTTAAAATCCAGATATTCAAACCTAGTAATTAAATAAAATAAAAACCCAATCCTGTTTATTTACTGAATGGATATATTTCATTCAGGAAATAAATTAACCTGTGGAAACATCTGACTTAATCTGAGCATTTGGTATTTTGGAGATGTCCTCAGAACAGCTTTTGTACAGTTCTGACTCAAAACACTTTTTCTAGCTACTTTAGAAAAAAGTTTTTCTGAAATTCTTCATACCTTTTCAGTGTTTTGCTAATTGTATTCCTTTCACATAGCTGAGGAATTCTGGGAATTAAGGTCTACACATCTTCAAGCAGTCGAGGCTGAGAAATACTGCCCTACATATTAAATTAATAATCCTCCACTTCCTCTATGATTTTAATGCATTCACACCAAACATTCATATAGCTGTACCATTTTCTTATAACACTGTTGCATTTGCGTCAGCAAACAAAGGTTATGTGCCCCTAGATGACCATAATTAATATTCTTTTAAACCTAAATCCTCAAACACCTTGTCATCTTTATTAGCTAAGTATTGGATGAGTTGTTTATTACTTCTTGGTCTATTAAGTTTTAAACATTTCATCTTCACAACATATTTAAACAGAAACCAGTTCTTCATGCAACACTTTATAGACGACAAGCTTTGTGATACATTTGTCCACTGGTATTAGAAACTTAAGGAATGATGTATGTTTCCAGACTTTCAGGAATGATGGAATCTTTTAATTTCTTTAAAATAATTTTTTTTAAAGAATAAAAATACTAGGGTATTCTAGGGTTTTTTCTTCATCAGGTTAGTTTATTCTGATTAAATAATATTCTTTTTCTTTGTAGCAATCCTGTGGATTTGAGTAATCCAGCGATAATAAGTTCTACCCCCAAATTTCAGGAACAGTTCCTAAATGTGAGTGGAATGGCTCAGGAATTGAATCAGTATCCCTGCCTTAAACATCTGCCTCAAATATTCTTTCGTGCTATGCGTGGGATTAGTTGCTTAGTGGATGCATTTCTAGGTAAAGTATTTTAACTGATAAGATGTTGCTTTCCTCTTTTTGTGCTATAGTTAACATTCGTTAACATTTTATATTCATTTATTTAACACTACAGTTGTGTGCTGCAGGACTATAATTGCATATGTGTCGATGATATTATTTGCACATTTGAAATATATTTTATTTCAAATAATTGGGAATTGTTAGTTTTCTTATGAGCTTCATCTTCCACCTCTGATTCCGATATACCTCTCCTACGTACATTTTCTAAAGACAAAATTTAAGGTAGACAAACTATTTCTAAAATATAAAGTTAGAAGGTATATTGCAAATCCTTGGGTGATCATATTGTCTTTCAGGAAACCAGTCAAGTCTTTTTCTGTTCAGATTTTTTAGTCTTGCTAATTGGTACTGAAAAATAGATTATTAACATATTTAGCAAAATGCTTGAAATATTTCTTGGTTTCTACTTGAATAATTTCAAGAATTTTTAGGATTTTGGTTTTGCTGTTAGCTAAAACAATTGTCTGTTTTTGTATGAAACCATAACTTTCAGTAAAAATTGAATACAATATGTCATTTTTCTCAGGAACTGCTTTTTGGAAATGTTTCCGTTATGGCACATAATGTATCAGAAATATACTCTCTCTCTTCTTTAGGAGTTGCTGCATTTACAACCAGTGTGTGCGAAAGATTACCCAGATATGGTATTAAAACTTGTTGCACTCGGTTGGGTGACAAGAATTTCAGCCGATGGGTGGTGATTTAACAGTGGTTGGGGTTTGAATCAAATTTTGGAAAGCTGCAGTATTCTGTCATGATGGTTTCTTAGTATAAATTGATATATTGACATTGTAATAAAATACTTAAAATATAGTATTGTGCTTAATTTTTAAAGTTGTTATATAGATTTCCTTTTTGCTATAAAATTGGGCTTCTCTTCACTGCTGTGGATTGTGTATTTCCAGAAATTGTGTCTGTGTGTATACACAGACACACACACAGAGAGACATACACACAACTACCATTCCTTAAGATCTTTCAGTCATGTTATTAAGTTTCTCTCTCACTCTGCAACAAAATTAATGTGATGTCCCAAAATTGTATAATTTTAACCATTTTATAAATGCAAAAGTTAAATGGAATCTTAATTAGTTCTTGTTGTTTATGACATTGGTCTGCCCCTGCTATTAAAACCCAGCTGGAATGTTAACAATTCCACAGATTTAGTTCTTTGTATAATTTTTCTATAGTCCTAATTTATTCTAATAACATTAACATACATGCTGGAATATATTAAGACATGTTTAAAATTTCTAATTATTGAGAAATAGGGAAAATATCTCATATAAATTATTTTTTTTGAAAAATTCATGAAGGGATTGCTTGAATAAAGGGGAAGGATTCTTTCTACTGGGCATTAAACAGAATGCTTTAATAATTTCAAAAGTGCAGTGTATGTTGCCAAACTTGAGATTGGTGGCAGAAATGAATATTAAAATAGCAACTGAAGTTCCAAACAGATAAATATAGAATGATTCATATTAGGCAAAATCCCTAACTTCAGATATTTGCTGATAGCCATTGAGATAATGGGAACTGAATGTGAAAGTCTTAAGGTTATGATATGAATTCAATGTGTGTCTGCTATAAAAAACCAGAGAATGCAGCTCACATGTTAGGATAACTATAACGTTTACTACTAGTAAAGTACTTTGAAGTAGTTTAAAGCTGCTGCTAGCTTTGTATGATGTATATCTCTAGTGTTTGCACTATGATACTGTGTAACAAAAAATATAGAAAAGATGGTTTGCCTAATCACAGTTTTCTTGAGAAAAAGATATCTGTAGCTTCAAAAACAGGTGTAATGGAGGTATATTAAGTTATTCTTGGAGATGAAAATATTGTGATAATACCAGCATATGAAATCATCTATTGCAATAATTTTCAGCTGTTGATGCATAGGACTAGTGAGGTTAAGTATAGAGTGAAAACTTAGAAATTACCCAAAATTATAAATATTATAACAGAATAACTTCAAATATATTTTTAAGAAGTGGTTTTCCATCATGATGGGATCTGCACTCTTTGATAAAATTATTGATGGCTTATAAATTATAAAAATCTGCGAAGTACTCATTGAATGAAAAAGAAGAATGGGAATTTCAGGACAAATAAAATTAGATTACTTTGCAATGAGCTCTGGAATTTGCTGCTACAGAATTTGCTAATGCCAAATATAACAATCTTAGTTATATTTAAAAGAAGATAAATACACAGAGACTAAGGCATTCAAATAATTGGTTATGATGGCTACGTATCATAACTGCAATGTTAGATGTTGAATAGATAAATATTCAGTATTATTGAATAGGAGATGATAGGGAGTACAAGCAGGATGATGATATTGTTGTACTCATGTCTAATTTATGGGTTTTCTGTTGGCATCTGCTTGGCTGCTGTGCATATAGATTCCTAGTCTAGCTAACCCAGCAAGTCTGTTATGCCTATTAGTGGAAAAAAACATGATGTGTACTAATAGGTTAACCCAGGGGTAGTCAACCTTGGCTCTTTTATGACTCGTGGACTTCAACTCCCAGAATTCCTGAGCCAGCTGTTGAAGTCCACGAGTCATAAAAGAGCCAAGGTTGACTACCCCTGGGTTAACATAACACAGTTTGAAAATAAGCAGATCAACTATAGTCATTCCATTTTAGTATTTATCTTTTAATGAATTACTTCACTGCCACATCTTTCAATAAATTAAAATAGACTACGAAAGAATATAATTAAATTATGTGGACTTTTTTTGCAGAATGCTATTTTATTTAAAATTTATTGCAGCGTGAGAGAGCTACACTTAATCATGAGTCAAATGCAGAATTTGCATTAAAATCAATCTTAGAATTATTTGTTCATTTGAAACTCATAAAAAGCTGTTTAATAACAGAATACTGCTTCTTTCTCTTTGTTAAACTACGACAAACAGATCTGTTTCAATTGTGCTGATTGTGGTACCAAGGCATGTGGAAGAGAGCTGTCAATCACTCACTTGCAAATTGTTTATCCTTTTATCTGTGGATTAAAGTCTTCCCTTAGTATTTTTAATTGTAAATAAAGAATTCTGTCCTGCATTTGAGATTTGAAAATGACACCAAAATAGTAAGCTCCAGAAATGCAGTAGTCACAATCACATTGATACAGAAAAAATATATTATACTCTTGGTTTCCCTGGGCTGCCACAACGAACTTACAGAGGTGCTATGATATTGTGAACTACCAGATCAAAAAAGTTCACAGTTTTGGCTTAGGTTCAACATGAAAAAATTACAGAGCTATTTAGGGTGTCATGAACTGACAAAGCTTGGGAACATCTGTACTATACCCTAGATCAGGGGTAGGCAACCTCGGCTCTTTTATGACTCATGGACTTCAACTCCCAGAATTCCTGAGCCAGCATAGCTGGCTCAGGAATTCTGGGAGTTGAAGTCCATGAGTCATAAAAGAGCCGAGGTTGCCTACCCCTGCCCTAGATCTAGAGCATGGGTCCCCAACCCCCAGTCCATGGACTAGTACAGGGCCATGGCATGCCAGCAACCGGTCTGCACGAACAAGCAAAGCCCCATCCGTGAGATGCAGGCAGCACACAAAACCATGCACCCTCCAGTCTGTGGAAAAATCTCTCCACGGATCTGGTCCCTGGTGCCCAAAAGGTTGGGGACCTCTAATCTAGAGAACCATGGAGTTTAGTTTTGTTGGAAGCAGCTGTTCTATACTTATAGATTAGACTTCCATGTAATTTGACTGCTCATATATCACTTTGAGGCAACCATATTCCTCAGCCATCAAGAGAAGTTTTATCAAAGGTTTAGAAAGTTATTGAGGGCCTCTTTTTTTCTTCATTTTTTAAATCCTCCAACGCCATAGCCAAAACAGAAAAAAACAAGGACATAATTTTATGAGAAAAGCTGAGGAGCTTTCCTATTCTTACTCCTTAAAAGCTAATACAATCCTGGGTTGTATAAACAGAGGCATAGAATCAAGATCACGTGAAGTATTAGTATCATTTTATAAAGCCCTAGTAAGACCACACCTCGAATACTGCAGCCAATTTTGGTCACCATATCACAAAAAAGATGTTGAGAGTTTGGAAAAAATTCATAGAAGAGCAACTAAGATGATCAAAGGTCTGGAGACAAAAACATAGAAAGAACGGCTGTGGAACTTGAGTTTGGCTAGTCTAAAGAAAAGAAGAAATAGGGGAGACATGATAGCAATATTCCAGTGTCTGAGGGGCTGCCACAAGGCAGAGGGGGTCAGGTTGTTCACCAGAGCACCAGAGGGAAGGATGAGAAACTGGTTGGAAACTGATCAAAGAGAAAAGCAATCTGGAATTAAGGAGAAACTTCTTGACAGTGAGGACAATCAACCAGTGGAACAGCTTACCCCCAGAAATCGTAGGCGCTCCATCACTGGAAATTTTTAAGAAGAGACTGGACAATTACCTGTCTGAGATGATATAGGTTCTCCTGCTTGAGCAGGGGGCTGGGCTAGAAGACCTCCAAGGTCCCTTCCAGCTCTATTCTATTCTAAGTTGTGGCAAGATTGATTTCTGAAGATTATGAACATAAAATGAGATTCCCTTAAAATAGTTTGGCAAATGTTCATGAGCAATTTATATTTTGATGCAGGAGAACTTTGCTACAAAACAAACAACATATTGTTTCTAAAATGGGAAGAATGAAACTTTGGCTCCAATGTTAATAATTTTTAATATTTGCTACAATAAAGTTGAATTCTGTGGTATTTTAAAAATAAATTTAAACATTGCATTTTCAAGCCTTAAGTTACATTGATATTTTGTAAGCTGTATATTTAGAGTGGGCAAGTGGGGCAAATGGCTGCCTGCAGCTCCTGGCATACCATTTGTGCTCCCCAGGATATCTTGAAATCCAACTGCCAAAGTTCCGCAACAAGATGATTTTCGAAGGGCTATTTTTTAATTAATTAACTAACTAATTAATTTTGTAGTGTAAGGGCAGTGTTGTGGAGGAGGAATGAGACAGTAATATCTGCATGAGATAAAATGCTTTTATTCTGATTCCTAAACCCATCCCTTAACAGAAAGGTGTATTCCCACAAGTAGGAAAACAACCTGAAATTTTGACCCTTCTTTTCAGTAGTGTCATTGGAAGCTACATTTGGGCTTCAGCTGCCAACTCCGGCTGAAACCTTTCTTAGAGAAGTTCTATTTCCCAGTAATTGTGTGCTTGTGGCACACTAGTATAAATATGCGGGTATGTGTACATCTGTTCATATACCTCCACAAAGCCACAATCCCAAATGTACACAGAGTAAGACAAAAATATCTTATAGTTGTATTAATAGCTACAATTGAAATTTATTTTTTTGTGAAATAGGGAGCTCTGTTATGTTAATTATTTCTTATAGAAATAACAAAACAAGCAGGGAAATGGAATACAACAAAGGGGTAACTGCATGTAAAAGAGAAGGAAGAATAAGAGCAGGATAGGGGAAAAAAACCCAATAGAAAGCTACTCACTATTTCTTCAATAATGACTAATTGTTAGTGGTGGCCTGACAACTCATCACTGATCTCTTGTACATGTCTTTATTTTTAACAACTTCTAGGGCTGTCCAAAGTATTCAAAAGGGTCAAAACACTCACTGAAGCATTTAAACCAACCATAGTCTCAACTCTGCTGGTAGTTCCAGTGGAAATGCTACCTGTTCAAGATACTGAGAAAACCCTTTGAAGCAACTGGTGCTCCTTTTCAGCCTATCAGAACACATCATTGATTTAATGCATCAAAAAGGGTGTTTGGTTGGCCTATAATGAAGTGCCCCTTACAAATGCTTCTAAACTAGTACAGCTTTTGTAAGATTGATTCTCTCAAGTTACAGTTAATTATTTGAGGGGGGGGAAATGCCTCTTAATATCATAATATAAACATAAGTGAAATGTTTGCAAAAGCATGCTACACATTTTTCAAAAGTAGAGCATCATATCACTGCAAACGCTTATGTAGATTTGTTTCATTGAGCCTCTTGTCATGTAGGGATTTTCCCCCACAAATGCCTAATCAGTTCACCCCCCACTGATTTTCTCTAGCTTATCACTCTGAAGAATGTTCAACTAGATATAAGAAAGCTGTGCATTTAACTTTATTACTTTATTACTTATGTTAGAGATAAATCGTTCTCTTAAAATTTTAAAGATGACTATTAACCAATTTGGTAAAAAATAACTTTCTTTTTTTCTTCTATTTCTGTTTTCATGGTATACATTCAACTCTGGTTATGTTTTAAAAAGCAATAATATATATAAAACTTTCACGTCTTTCTAGTCTTAGTAAAAAAAACTAATTTCTAAAAAGTTACCATTGATTTTAGGAAGAACTTCAGGTTGAAATTGATGTTATATTTTTCAGGTATTTCAAGGCCCCGTGCTGATAGTGCTCCACCTACACCAGTAAATAGATTGAGCATGCCCCAAACTGCAGCTGTTAATACAACCCCACCTCATAATCGAAGACATCGTGCTGTAACTGTGAATAAGCCAACAATGAAAAACAGCACAGTAAGTCTTTACCCTTAGCAACAGCTATGTTGTGTTGATATTTCTTATAATGCAGATGATAATTGACATTAGAGTTCTAAACAAATGCTTTTCTTTTTCTTTCATTCAAATAGGCTAACACTGCTCATGCTTCCAAACACCAGCCATCTTCTACTTCTCCGCTGTCTAGCCCAAACCAGACTAGTTGTGAGCCTCGACCACTACCTGCTCCTCACAGGCCAAAAGTTAATAGTATCTTGAACCTCTTTGGATCATGGCTGTTTGATGCAGCCTTTGTTCATTGTAAGCTTCATAATGGAATAAACAGGGACAGCAGTATGACTGGTAAATATTTTCACCCTTTTTGTACACTTCATCCTCTTTGTTGCCATTAACAGGTTTGGCTAACCAAAATTAAAATATGAAAAATAATATTATTAACTTATGTCAGTGTGAAATATTATATTAATTTATTGTAAATAACATCTTGATTTTATTGGCAACTTAAGGGACTGTAACAGTTAAAAGTAAAATTTTGTAACTAGGTCACTTATTTTCACTGACACTAATAAAGATGTCTTCTGCAACATATTGGCTAAGAGAAAGTTTTGTAGCATTACTTCAAAACTAAATTTCCTAACTGAATGATTTCAAGCAGTTAATTAGAATGGGCTACAAGCACTATAATAGGATGTGTCTGCATTATTTCATTATTGCTTTGTTTTTCCCCCCAGAATTGCTATTTCAGTGATTAGTTAAATTCTTTAGCTTCAAGGGTTCTGTAAAGCTGTAGTTTTCAATCTTTAATCTTAATTTTTTTTTATCTGACTTTCTCATTTTTTAAATTTACATATAAAATTGGACATAAGAGAAATAATGTATAATAATGTTCCAGACAGTAATAGAATGAAGCTTTTGGCTCATAGTTTTTTCCTAGCTCAGTAAGAATACATCATATTGATACAACTCAGAATCACATTGCATAATATTTTGTAGTAGCTTATTATTCTGTATTCTGTGGAAAATATAGCCACTGACTCCATCCTCACTGTAAAATTCTTAAGTCTTTACTAGTAGTAGTAAATTTAATTAGTATTTATTGAACTTTAAACATAGCATTTATTGATATTTAAACATATAATACTAAGATGCTAAGAATTTGTAAATGAAAAAGGTTTGTTTTTTTTATATGTTTCATATTGCTGGTATTCTAGTACTTAGTCTAATTTGCATTGTGCAATACTTAGCTGACTTTGGCTGATCTAGAAAGCAAAACTGGTAAGTACTTGCATGGGAAAGCTATCTAAGAAGTCCAGGGCTATAGGCTAGACTGGGAGGTTGAAAAAAGTGTTTTAGAAAAAGGCAATAACAAATAATTTCTATATCAGGACAATAAAACTCCATGTATGTGTTAGTGTAAATCAATAGGAGCTTAGCTCAATTGGGAGGAAATTTTTCTGTATTCTGATATAGGCAACAGGAACAAGAATTTAAGGACCACTAAAAATTTTAAAATGTGCTATATAACATCTATACGTGAAGGGCTTGCTGCCCTGCAATATGCAAAATTTGAGAACTACCTATAGCTATTAATTTGTCCTATCAATAAGACAACCTCAGACATATTTTTATTTATCTAGATTTTTTTTTAGGAAATATATTGTCTTGAAGTAAATTGCCTCTCAAAAAGGGCAGCATTAATTCCTCCTGATACCTTTGTTTTGTGTCTGCCCTCTCCCTCATGTCTTTTGGAGTATAGGTTTTATAATACTTGGCACACTGTCATTGGAACAACTATCTAGAACCCTTCATTTTTCAGGTTTAAGTGTTTGATCAGAATTCCATTCTCAATTCTCTCAAAATTATTGGGACTTTTCTCAAAATTTCCAATGGTTCAAGCACTCACTGATCACCCCAATTATTGTGCTCATATCTTGCCATCTTTCTTTCCTGTTCTAAGCTAAGATTTTCCTACTTGTCTTTTTGAACTATGTTGTTTCCATGTATGCCTTATTGATTCTCATATAATTTCACTTCTTATAGAGCAACCATAGAGATTCTGTAGCTGCCTTTCATTTCTGGATGCAATTGTATCATACAGAGTTTGAATGCAAATTTATTTCTTCATTTTTCTTTTAATACTTTTTTAAAGCTTGCATTCGGCACCTCATATTGCTGCTCTGTATCATTTTATCCCAAGGCCTTCATTATACTTATTTTAGTCTTCCCACCTGTAGTATCCTTCCTTCCTTCCTTCCTTCCTTCCTTCCTTCCTTCCTTCCTTCCTTCCTTCCTTTTCTTCCCTCCCTCCCTCCCTCCCTGCTAAAAACCAAGAGACCATTATTTCTATTCCTGCCTTAGCCACAAAATATACATATACATATGATTGTTTGTCTCGGGTAATAGCTCCTTGATTAGAGTATTGTTTAGTGCTTGATTGTTTGGTGTTAATTTTAGTATATATCCTTGCTTATCTGGGTATTGATTGCTGGCAAAGAAGTCTTCTGGTCTTTTTGCTTCCTTTTAGCAGTAAACAAGCAATAAACAATAGCATAATCCAGAAAGTACCCAGAAGAAAACAGTATTCCCACTGACAGGGTGTAGAGATGCTGTCTAGGAAATAATCAGACAAGAGAGGCAGGAGCTCCCAGTGGCTTAACGGTCAGAGAAAGAAATTTAGGAAGGACCCACCCTAATGAATCAAGCAGTTAAAAGTGGCAGACAGTTTCTACTTTCAGACTTGCAAGATTCTATTATTTACAATAAAATAAAATTAGGTCATCTAATTGTATCTCCTGTCTGGTTTATCTGGGAGGGCTGACACAGCAAACTACTGTATATAAACAGAAAGCAAACCCTGTTCCCTTCTAGCACTGAAGATATTACCTAGTAAGCAACAAAGCTTAGAGAGCACCAAGGACTTCACAGTTGAGCCCTGAACTACATATATTCTCTTCCATTGGAAACCAATTGATTAGCCACTGCAATCCCAGCAATACTGTCCTTAAGTGAATGTAATGGTTGTTAGCTGAGTATCCATCCCAAGCCAAGCCATTCCAAGCTTGGTCTCTCGCTGCCCTGAGCCATAGTAAGAAATTGCCTCCAAGTTCCCCATCTCTGCCCTTTTGGCCATTCTTCACTTGTATGGCCTTTGTGGAATGGCAAATGGCACAGAACTGGACGACTTTGGGGCTGCTTGCCACTCCCCAGGGAGCCACAGCCATCCCAGTCCCTTGCTACCCTGCACTTCCAAGATTCCTGCCTCCCTGTACTCCACCACCCCAGTTGACTTTCTCCACTATCTTCTTGCTCCTGATGATGATGAGGCAGGTCATGCTTATAATCACTCATGCCCTAATCAAGTCCAGATTCGACTACTGCAATGTGCTCTACATGGGGCTGCCCTTGAAGAATATCCAGAAACTTCAGTTGGTGCAGAACGCAGTGGTGCAGGCAGTTACATGTGCTCCTACAGCACTGCATGTTACACCTCTGTTCTGTGAGCTGCATTGGTTGCCAGTTTTCTTCTGGGTCTACTTCAAGGTGCTGCTTTTAATCTTTAAAGCTCTTCAAGGCGTGGGAGTGGGCTATCTGTGTATTTCAGATGAATGAGAAAGAACTTTGTTTAAAGCTCTACAGAGCTGCTGCTAAATTCAAATACACAAAACTGGATCAGCGGATAGTGTAATTTGTTTGTTTTATGAAGTGATAGACCGGGGTAGTCAACCTTGGCTCTTTTATGACTCGTGGACTTCAACTCCCAGAATTCCTGAGCCAGCCATGCTGGCTCAGGAATTCTGGGAGTTGAAGTCCACGAGTCATAAAAGAGCCAAGGTTGACTACCCCTGTAAGATAGACAAACTCAGAAGAGTTGCAGTAACTGAGTGAATAATTAATTGTTGTTGGACAAGAGGAATTGCTGGCCACTCAAGGAGGTACTGTAAAGAAATGAAGGAGTGTCTGTCCTTTTTGTAATTTCTCAACATTCAAGTGTCATGTGCCTGTTTGTGTAGGCTTAACTACATGTTATGCAGTATAAACTTAATAAAGATTCAAATAAATTTTTGAGTCTGATTTCGAACCATTTTCCCCTGTTCTATTCTTTTTTTTTTCCTAGCCTTGCTTGCTACATTTGGTTGTGTGTTATGTTTTACTATTCCTGTTTCTCTAAAATTAGAAACATTGTGTTATTTTAATCTTTTGACTTGGTGAAAGATTGTTTCTATGTTGTAGTTGCTCTGTTGTAGAGGATCATTTGCATAGCCAATATTGGAATTACAGTACAGCATTTCATTACTTTGAAGCATTGCTGAAAGTAGTCCTTTGCACAAACATGTACTTTGTGGAAGGAACATTCTCTGCTTCAAGACTTTTGTCATTTAAAACTTTTCTATATTAGAAAAGCAAATAGATTGCTGAAAATTCTTATTTTTAGATAGTCTTGAATCTGAACATATATATAGCTGTTGCAAAAAATGACAACGTGAACATGGATAAAGAGTTACTTTAAAAATGCCCTGGAAGTAAGAGAACAAATGTGCAGAAGGCATGCTTGTTGATAGCAGCTACAGATTGCAGAACCCTTGAAGAGAAAGCTGGAACAGTTTCCTTTTCTTGCCTCAGTTCCTCTTTATTAAGTCATTATTCAGGGCTTCAAGCAGCCCTCGGTACAATGCAGAGAAATTAGATGTGTTGCCTCACATTTTATCTAAAATGAGAGATTGCTGTGGTAGTAATAAGCCATATGGGAAATGGCTTTTCTAAGGTTGGAGACATTTTTGTTTTATCAGTGGATATGATGGCATAATTAATTCTGCTTTGATTTATGCAGGCACTACTTTATGCAAATATACCTTCACAGCACATAAGTAATGATTGGATTTGTTTTAGCTTTAATTTAAAACAAACAATACATTCCTATTCCCACACAAATCTTCATAGTTACAAATTAATTAATTCCAGCGTGATCCTCAGAGTGAAATGAGATCCTTAACTACCATTTACATTAAAAGGGATTTCTTATGAACCCCTTCCTGGTCTGTTTGTTTCCCAGATGATTTGTAATTCTTTCCCCTTCCACTTTTCCACCAAGTGCAGGTAACCTTGAATAAAAGTTTCTTCTGTTGTTTTTTTTTTTTTGTTTTTTTTGAGGAAAGGGTTTGAGTGATCACTAAAGTGTTTTGCCATCCCTATGGAAACTGCAAATAAACTGATCTGATGTGAGATAAGCAGATAATAAATTTTCTTTCTTTCCGTCTCTTTATGATTTCCTTATAGTGTAGATCTTCATTTGCTGATATATGAATAAAAGCAAATTGCTTTCTGAATAATACTGTAAAACTAAATGTACAATATATGAAACCCATGACAGTATTTTAAATCTTTCAAAATTCTGCATGAAATCATAATTTTGAACCGTAATGCTAATTTCCTATGTGTTTAACCAGCCTGCTAGATCATAAGTTTTTAATATATGTTTCAAAACCCTAAACACTATTTAACTTGTTATTACAGTTTCATCATTTTAAAGTATTTTATAACTATTGCTGTCCTTTGATTTATTTCCATTTTATTTCTATTATCTTGCAGCATCTTTTATCCAAATTCTTCTTTCTTATAAATCTTGTAAGTAGGAACTAGTAGCTTCTCTTTAATTGCAATCATGTTTTTTTCTTTTTCTTTTTTTTCATAATCCCATTTTTTAAATTTGTATCATTGTCATTCCTTGTAGCTTTTGCTCTTTACATGGGAAAGACAAGTAGCTGTGTGTGCTTTTTTAAGTGGGGAAGATTGTTGGCAAAAGCAAATCTGCCTGAAATCAGTCCCATCATTTTCCGTACTCTAGTCTGTGTTCGTGTCATGAATTATAGGACTTTGCACTAACCATGTTTTTTTCCCATAAAGCTTCTTTTACACAGATCTAGTGTTTTGATTTGTATGCATTCTGCATGTAGTTTTTTCCTTTCTCCCCCCTCCCCCCGCCCAAATATAACATTTTGCTGGATAGCTTATTCAGGATAAAAAATGGCTCATGGGAAGACGCATAAAGATTTGGATTTAGTTACCAAAATAAAATTAGTGAAGAAATTGTTTTTTTAAAAAAAGACAATAAAATTTATCTTAATCTGTTTCTTCTAAATTACCAATCTATTAGTAATAAACATTCAGTGCATGGGCAGAGCTTCTGTTTGTAAGACTGTAGTTGACATAGGCTGCATCCTATGTAGCTTTCTTTGAATTAACTCTGAATTTTGAATTCAGTGAGACCTTTGAAGAAGCCTGCATAGGATTATGCTATAAAATATCTTTCTCCATTTCCCTAATAAGGTAGAATTGGACTAACAGTTGCTTTTTTTAGTACTGGAATTATTCTTTTTTGTGAGCATCCATCTGCATGATCTTAAACTGTTCATATTTGCTAGAATCCATCTAACATATCTGGAAAAAAGGAATTGGGTAGGGAACATCTGATTGAGAGCTAGAAAAAACTATGTTTCCATAGAGCATTAATGACCGTAGAAATTTGTGAATAAAATATGCTTGATGCCTGTTGGGAAAAATATAGCCACAGAAAGAGAAGAGTGAACTCCTTGTAGCTTCCTGATGTATTTTAAACTATAATGATTTTTTTTCCCCCTCGATCCATGCCACCAAAAGTTTTATAGGCATGCACGAATTTCCATCTCAGCACTCAGGCCACCTTTGCCATACCATCCCTTGTGTATCTCATAAAAGCGACTCATAGTTCTGGAAAGCAGGCTTGATGAAGATGAAACAACAGTAGGAGAAAAAAATTGAGAAGTGTATGGAAGGCATTTCCTTCTGAGCATTTTCTCTGGTGCTATAGAAATATATCTCTTGGCTTTTTTGAAGCAAAATTTTCCATAGACATGATTTAGAATTTGGCATCTGCCTGCATCCTTATTTCTAGTTCCAGTGTAGGTTCACAATAGTGGCAAAAGGTAAAGGAGAAGTAATTGGGAACCCAAGAGCTTGCTGGATAGTTAAAAGGTCAAGTCAAGTTTTTGAGGACGTAAAGGAGTTATATAGTGGATAAGGAAAATTAATGACATTGCTGTAAAACAAGTTTCAGGGGATTTTGTTGATGCATCTGGCTGAGAATGTGAACGGAGCAGAGTCTTCTGTGCTTGGGTAGCATGGATTGCTGAAGGAGGAGATGATTTACTTGTGTGTGAAGGTGAAAGGAAATAATTTTCTTACAAAAGTCATAGTCCCTTAATGGTTTATAAACAGAGGCATTAACGTAAATGCAGCAAACTAATGTTTTTTATGATTACTAAATTTGACATGATCTTTGTGTCCAGGATCCCATGAGCCTGTTGGATATGCTTGCAAATGTAATGAAACTCTGTACTTCTTGTTTTTGTTTTAGCTATAGCAACACAAGCAAATATGGAGTTTCGCAGGAAAGGTTCACAAATGTCTGCAGAGACGGTGGCTTCCAATCCTATGTTTGATGCAGGGGAATTTTCTGACAACTATGAATCTGGCAGAGCAGAGGCATGTGGAACGCTCTGTAGAATATTTTGTAGCAAGAAAACTGGAGAAGATATACTGCCAGCCTACTTATCTCGGTACTGATTTACATTTTGAATTGTTCAAATATATTGTTATATACCTTTGTTACACATGAAGGATTTTTTCCAACTTCTTAATGTTTGGCCACTTCAGATGTTGGATTTTAAATTAAGTAATTTTAAATTAAAACGCATCCTATCAATTGAGATTTCAAGAATAATATCTTTGGCATTTGGGTATATAAAAGCACAATCTCCTGGATTCCATTTTTTAAGCAAATAAAATACAGTTTTCTTCATTATATGCTTCCCACACCACTTTAGGAAAATGTTAATAGGAAGAGGATGTAATAATGATAACAATAAGGAAAGTAGCAAATTTCTTCTTTTCTCTTTTTCCCATAAACCTTATTACGCTTGAACAAAATATACAATGTAAGGAAATGGAAAAGAAAGGATTGGAAAAAGGAAAGATTGAGAACAAAACAGAATTGCAGAACAGAAAAAAGAATTAGAAAAAGAATGATTTCCAATTTTCTTTGATACAGATACAAATATAAAATACATTAACCTCTTACTCTAAAATTAACCATACTATTTATTTAACCATAAACAATTCTAATTGTCAAATTCCAAAATTAAAGTTTCATTTAATTCAGTTTCAACAAAAAGTCCACAAGTGGTTTCCAAGTAGAAACAATGCTAGAGAAGACTTTTGTTGGATCAAAGCAGTCAATTTTGCCATCTTAGCCATTTGCTATTAAGTTCACTCTTCATTCTTTCATTGTAGGAATTTGTAAGTCCTTCCACCTTTGCATAGAGAAATCTCCTTACTGTTGTGATCTATGAAAACAAGATGTTTTTCAATTTGTTTATCCATTAGGGCCTAAAAGGAAAACTCTGGTTTCAATTGTAAATTCATTTTAAGAATTCTCTGAATTAAACTATGTATCTGATCTCAATATCAATAATAACAATAATTATTATTTCTTAGTTTTCTTATATGTCTATCAAGGATAATAAAAAATATCTTCACATTGATTATATTTCCAACATATATTTGACACCACCTTATACATATTTTACAATTTATCAGGTGTTAAATACCAAAAGTACATCATCTTATAAAAATTCTCTTTCAAATTATAATTCAGTGTAAATTTCAGTCCTTTAATCCTCATACTCTACCATTGCGTAAGCATTATATTGTATCCAATTTTTTTTGCCCATTTAATCATACAGTCTTTAACATCTTCCATATTCAATTTCAATAAAGGTTTATACTTCTTATCAATAACATGCTCATCATTAGAACACAAACCCAATTCAAAATCAGTTTACTCATTTGTAAAATCGTAATTCTTGCCCAGTTTAAATCTTTCTATCAATTGAGCATAAGCAAACCATTGACAAAGGTGACCTCCTGTTTCCAATTTTTAATTTAGGTTTTCCTTCAAGAAAAGTTGAATTGACCAGCATAGGTCAATTAGGTGTAACTATCATTTCTCTTCTAAAAAAAACTTCTTGGTGTGGATTTTGGGAGACAATCTTCCAAACCCTTATATGGCTCATCTAATAAAATGATTTTTAAAATCTATATTAACCTTAACTTGTCATAACAGAAATAGCTGTGCCGCCCAAATGTCAAATCATGTCGTTCCAACTCCAATAATCTCCCATTTCTCAAAGTCATCCAGTCTTTCATCCATACAGTAGGCAGCAAGATACAGATTTAAGTCAAATAATCCTAGCCCACCTCTTTCTTTAGCATCTTGCAACAATTTATATTTAATTCTTGTTTTTTTTAATCCTGCCATATAAATTTGCAAATAACTTTTTGCCATTACTTAAGAGTGCTTTGAGGCAAGTAGCAATTCTTCAGTTGTTTGCCAGAAACTTTTCTAATATCATTTATAAGAAAAAATGTTTATTTGAATTGTGAAACTGTTAATCCAGACTGCATATTTCAGATGTCATGGTTGTGGCTATGAAAAGCAAATGAATATTCATTTTTTTCCTATTGTCCTTTTGTAATGCATGGTGGCATATTGTGATTACTGACATGTTTATGCAATTGGCATCATTCATTATTATAGGTGAGAAACAGATAACACAATATATGTAACTTCTAGGAGAGATGAAAAGCTCTCATTCACAGGGTTCCAATTGTAATGGTGCTTTTGCTTTATTTGTGATATGTAATTCTGCACATAGCTTAATGTGGAGAATCTTATTTTACAGGGAGGGACAGAAGTATAAGAAATCAGTCCCTAAATCAAATAGTTTTTTAGTGTGAAGAAAATATTGTACTTTAAATTACTCCTTCATGTTGCTGATCAGTAAACAACTTCAGATCAGATGAACCTACACTTACATTTTAGTTTTAGCATTCTAAAAGTAGGTCATGATGTGCTAAATAAGACATATTCCTTTGGGTTTAAATTGTAATTTACTCATTGTATTTGAAAGATTTCCATGTCATCTCAGCATAGTAAGCCCTGGTGGTTACGTTTTTAGCTAGGAGAAGAATGATTTGGTCATCCTGGATGATTTGGTCAATCATTCTCTTTCAGCCCAACATCTCATAGTTGTTAGGGAGATGTAAACTGTCTTGAGGTCTCAGAATAAATGTGGGATATAAATAAAAGTGGTATATAAATATAAGAAGCAGTTCAGTGTAGTGGTTAAGGCCCCAGGCTAGAAACTTGGAGACCATGAGTTCTTGCCCTGTCTTAGGCACAAAGCTGGCCAGGCAACCTTGGGCAAGTCATTTTCTTGCAGCCCTAGGAAGAAGGGAATGGCAAACCAATTCTGAAAAATCTTGCCAAGAAAACTGCAGGGAAGTAATTGAGAATTGCACACGATTGAAGGGAAAGAAAAATAAATAAATGCAATAAATAACTGATATTTTAATTCAGCATAACTAATTAAAACATCTGCAAGACTGAACAGCATGATAATTTTCAACTGCTAATTTGAAACAGAAAAATGTAGCAGATGCTTTAGATGCTCATGATGCCTCACTATAAATGCCAAATTTCTCTTTGCTGTTGACCATCTAAAATAATCTTGGTTTGCTAATGCTTCTTTCCTATAACTCAGAGGTCCCCAATCTTTTGGGCACCAGGGACCGGTTCTGTGGAGAGAGGTTTTTCTGCAGTCCAGAGGGTCCGTGGTTTTGTGTGCTGCCTGCATCTCGCGGATGGGGCTTTGCTTGTATGTGTGGACCGGTTGCTGGCATGCCATGTCCCGGTACTGGTCCACAGGCCAGGGGTTGGGGACCCCTGCTATAACTGTTTATATTTTTCTTTTTCTGCCAGGTTTTACATGCTTTTAATTCAGGGACTGCAGATAGCTGATTCTGTTTGCCACCCAGTTCTGGCTAGTGTCATCTTAAACTCCCCTGCCTTGTTCTGCTGTGACCTGAAGGGGATTGATGTCTTGGTTCCTTACTTCATTTCAGCACTTGAAACTATCTTACCTGACAGGTAAATTGATAACATTCATATTATTTTTTAAACTGCTGAATATTTTCAGAACTACATAAATGGAATTACCGTATTGTCAAGGAATTCTACAAACTGCAAATATGAAAAGTATCTGCTTGAGTAAGGCTGTTCTGTATTTTAAAGAATACAGGTATAACAGTTCATTTAATGACCGTTCAAAATTACAACGGCACTGAAAAAAAATGACTTAGGACCGTTTTTCACATTTACAACCATTGCAGCATTCCCACCATCACATGAATGAAAGTTGAATGCTTGGCAATTAACTCATATTTATTATGGTTGCAATGTCCCAGGGTCATGTGATCACCTTTTGTGTCCTTCTGGCAAGCAAAGTCAATGGAAAAGCCAGATTCACTTAACAACCGTGTTACTAACTTAACAACTGCAGTGATTCACTTAACAATTATGTTAAGAAAAGGTTGTAAAATGGATCAAAATTGACTTAATGTTTCGCTTAGCAACAAAAATTTTGGGCTTAGTTATGGACGTAATTTGAGGACTACCTGTATTAACCCAGAAAAGAGATGAAAGGGCAAAATGGAAGGGAAAGATTATTGATGTGGTTTGTTATGTTCTGAATGACTTGTAGCATACATACAATGCTTTTTTTGTAAAAAAAATAAAGGTGCCGGAACTCACACACGTCATACAACCCGCCTTGCCTACCCTGCAAGGTTCCATCCAAAAGTGCCGCAACTCCGTTCTGGGCGTTCTATGACAAAAAAAGCCCTGCATACATATATAATATTATATGAATGTTTACTAAAATATATGCTATTCTATGTTATGCCTTTTGATCCCATTAAAATGGATAAGGGAAATTGATAGAGTTGGGAGCACTAGATAATATTTTTCTGTTTTAATTATTATTGATTTTTACTATTGATAGAGAGACCACATAAATAACTAATTTTTGAGAAAGTAGCTTTCATTATTAGCTATAACCGGCAAACATAGTTGCACTGATTTTAAAGCAGACTTATTAAAGAAAGGATTGTCTTATGTATATGGCTTCTTTATTCATGTTTTAAAGTTTAAAAAATAAATCTGATTGTTTTGAGAGTCAAATTATTTTTACATCATATACAGAAGCATAGCAATAAGTGTTGGTTCATCTATCCCAGTTCTGTGAACACTAACTTGTGGCAAGTATCAGATAGTGATTTTTCCTGTCCTACTTAGAGATGCTAGGTATTGAAACCAGGACCTTCTGCTTACAATGTACTAACTTATATTTGACTAAGATGCTACATTCTCCAAAAGATCTTGTGCAGCCACCCATTGACATAGTCAGCGGTAGAACACTGAGTATTTCAACAGAGTTGAACATCTTGCCCTTAACTTCAGGTATAAATGACATGAAATCACCTGTATTCAAGCTGAATAAGAATTCCAATATTTTCTCCCTACAATTCTACTGGCAAACCATGACATTTTGGCGAATCTTGAGCAAACATTTAATGCTACACTTGCACACTTAAATAGGATAATTTTGCTTTGAAATAGAAGTTGTAGATTTAAAAAAAACTTATCATTTTGTTGTTGTTTTTATCCAGGGAGCTCTCAAAATTTAAAACATATGTGAATCCCACAGAACTAAGAAGGGCCTCTATCAATATTTTACTGTCCTTGTTGCCTCTTCCTCATCACTTTGGAACAATCAAATCGGAGGTAATGGATTTTAGGGATTTTCAGTGATTTTATTTTAAATAGTCTAAACATAACCAAATAGCAATTAGTATAGGATACTTCCAAGTGGCAAAAAATGCTATTATTAGATAAAAAAGAAATAAATTCAGAAAATGAATAAGAATGTGTGATTTTATTATAAATATTCTTGTATCAATTAATACCTCATTAAGATAAAATACTTTAAGACTTTGGACATTCATATACCACACTGTAATTTCAAATAGACAGGATCATATACATATTTTGCATCTTGAGCTGGTAATATAGTGTGATTGTTAAGTGAATGTCAGTCCTGGCCTTTACTATACAGACAGATACTTGACATCTCCTTGGGGTATTCTTACCACTCCATTCTTTTGGAGTTTCATACTTATGATTCACAGTTCTATAAATACAAGTTTCTGCATATAACTGAAACTTCAATTATATTTCTTCAATCTGCATAGACTGAATTTTTTAAAGTTTTGCTAGTTAGTATGTTTTACAGTTTTATAGTTCATTTACTAGCTCTATTGAGCAATATTTCTGTGTTGCATTCTTTAGTTCAGAGTAGGAATATAACATATTGGGAAAGTAAGATAACATCCTTTTTTATTAGATACTTGCTAAACACATGAAAGAGAATAAAGATTATAATCAAATTTGTTTTTCAGATTGTTCTGGAAGGAAAATTCAGCAATGATGAAAGTTCATCCTATGATAAACCAGTAACCTTTCTTTCTTTGAAACTGAGACTTGTGAACATATTGATTGGAGCCCTGCAGACAGAAACAGACCCTAACAACACACAGATGATACTAGGTTGCTTTTCTACTTGATCCATGAGATGTTTGCTTTTGAAAAAAGTTTTGTGCATGTTACCTGAGTTATCATAAGATCAGATTCCAGTTACTGGAGATTATGAACAGTTAACTTTTTTGTTTCCTTGGTATCTGGTATTAGGAGCCAGAGTGATAAATAACTGTTCTTCAAAATTTGTGAATGTATTTTTATAATATTTGTATTGTTCTGATGACTTCAATTTGATCTCATTGATTAAGGAAATTAAAAATGAAATGATGTTCAAGTAGAAAGAAAAAATGAGTTTATAAGTGATTGATACATATTACTGTGGTGGTAAGCAGAAAGCACAGGCTGTTCTATACTTCATTTGCACTTACAGATGAATAATATTTGGGGGGCTCATTGGAAGAGGGTGTAATTTCTGAACAAACAACTCAAAATATACTTTCCTCTGATAGCATACAGAAAAAACTATTTTTTTCAAAACTATTACAATTTTTTTTGACAGATGTATATATTCAGTTGTTTTATAACACATCTGTTTATTTATTTGTTTAAACGATCCCCTCCCCCAAAATACATTTTTTCTTTTTTACCATATACTTAATAGAAAATAAAGGGCAGTCTCTGAAAACACAAAAAAGGGGAGAATCTTTCAAGTAGCAGCAAAAAAAAAAATACCATGGGAAAGGCTAGCGTGCTTTAGAAATTCCTTTGTCAAAGGAATTTAAGATAGTACAAAGACATTGCAAAGCATTGACATTGATAAAATGTATTTTATTTTTGTTTTCATAATTTAAAAATTAATATCGGCATTGACTTTATATATTCACATGTCCAAAATATGCTTGAAACTCTAAAGTGCAAAAAATTCTCTATTGCATATGTTCGTGTGATTCTGAGTGGACAAATTATGGCTCTCCAGATGTTTAACTCCCATTAAACTATCTCTACTTCTAGTTCCTTTTTCAAAGGAAAAATAATGATGGATAATTCCTCCCCCCCCCCTCAAAAAAAAAAAGTATGACTATAGTAGAATTGACCTGAAATTGGTAAATGTGGATCTGGAAAGAAATTTCTAATTTTTAAAAATTGGGAGCAATGCTTTCCAGTGCAAAAAACGTCATTAGATATAATGTCACACAGACAGAGACCTTAACTGAAAAAATATTGTCATATCTTAAATCTTCTTCTACAGCTGCGATGCTGAACATTGTGCAAGATTCAGCACTTCTAGAGGCTATTGGTTGCCAGATGGAAACGGTAAGATTTCTCTCATTTTTAAGAGATGCTTTGGTGAGTCAAAGCAGATTATCATATAAGCACAAAAGTTTTCTGAAAATAGCCTTCCTCTTCTCATCAAAGCCTGATTTCTGAATTAATAGAATGGTGGTGAGAATATTGTCCTGAAAAGTCACAGTCGCACTAATAGTGGCATTAGCACGGCAAGTGGAGGAAGCACAGAACCAACAACTCCTGACAGTGAGAGACCTGCACAAGCTCTGCTGAGAGATTATGGTATGATTGTCTACCTTAATACTTGCCAAAAAAAATCCCAGTCTGCCAATCCCATTTTATTTAAAGTGGCATCTGAAAGTTTTTGAATAATTTACACTTTTTAATTGGAAAAAAGGATAATATACATGTGTGTATGTATATATGTGTGTGTGTGTGCATATATATATGTGTGTGTGTGTGTGTGTGTGTGTGTGTGTGTATTCCAGCAAGCATTTGGGTGATCGAAGAGGTAATGATTGCTTTTCAGCAGATCTGTTTACTTTATTTTGTTTTGTGATTATACAGATAACTTTATAATATATGTTTTTAGTTTATGACTCTGTAAATAACTTGAGTCTTGGAAGAGGGTAGATATAGATATACATGAAGCTAATAAATAATTGTCATTATGATAAGAGACAGAGGGGAAAAGATTTTGGGTAACAATTGGTGTTTTTGCTTTTTTTGTGTTTTTCCGCAGTATATAAATCTGTGTTATAAACTATATAATAAACCACCTGTGAAGTGATTTGGGAGCTTTTTAGTTTTATAATAGTTTTTCTATCTGCTCCCTTGTTGTAGCTTCTCCCCTCCCCCATCCTTTCAGTATTGCTACTTTTTCATTCTAATTATTATTTACAGCCTTCCAAATGCTACTAAATGTGTATATAATATTGAGTCTGATTTTCAGAATGGAGAAATTTTTGTGGCCTCATATATTGTGTCAGAATGATCTGATGTCGTTGAAATTGGGGGGGAAATGTAAATAACTTCATTAGATGTTGCTTTGATTTCAGCTTTTTGACTCCCTCTGTTTGTATTTATCGCACTAAATGTATACTGTGTTCTTAAACAAATCAGAGAAACCCAAGATTCATTAATCAATATTAATCAGATGTATATAAAACATTATATGTGCGCAGATATGTGTTATTATGTATGTTTCCACTACATTTAAAAATCATCGTTCTACCTAACTCTTTTCCTTGTAGAATTCACTTCAGGACCTGTCAGAGTAGTACATATTTGTCTCATTTAGAACATTCTGGCATACTTTTCTGTGGCAACTGAAAGCCGGAATGACTCTTTTGACTAGAAAAGCTTGTTTTCATATGCATTAAGAAGCAATTGTTATCTGAGGTTACAGATTTCTGAATCTGATAAACCAATACCAGCTGAAGATCAGCTTCTTTGATAAAGTTAGAGATCCCAGTCATCCTTCCTAAGAACCCAGAAGGCATTTGTAATGAATTTCCAAATAAATTCACCAGGCAGGCAACTATTTGCATATCTAATTATCCATCTGAATCCCTTCCTACCATTAATGACAGCATAAAATCATCACTTTTAAGTAAAGCATCAGATAAGTTACTCTTACTACATGACTTATGAAGGACAGTTAATTATTTCACAGAGGTAGACTAGTGTTCCATGTTGTTGTTTTTTTACATTTTTCTTTTTTTAACAATACTATGTCCTATATCTCTTACATTTATTTGCACTTATTTACATTACTTCTCATACTTTTTTATTCCTCAATTCCATGTTTTTATGGAGGAATGCAGTATGTTATCTGATTAAACATTGAAGTCCTGTATACTTTTTAAAGTGATTTTTTCATTACTTTAATGTATGAATAAGGAGGAGGAAAATAACTAAAAAGAAAAAGGAGAATAAAAAATTATATATAAAGTCATTATAAAAAGTATATGAAATAATATTCTTTCCATTACAGATAGTTCTCAGAGCTTAACAACTCTAAAAAGCTACTTAAAAAGCTACTTATGATCTACCCTTGAAGTTATCCTGCCCCGCCCTCCATCCCATAGTTATATTTTAGGCCCTTGGTAAGAGGCTCACATTTACGACTAGTTGCAGCGTCCTGTGGTTATGTGACTTTGATTTGCAACATTGTTTTCAGGCAGAAAATGGCAAAAACACCTATTGGATATGCTGAGTTCACTTGACAACCACCTGGTTCACCTAGCAATGATGCTATTGGTGTTAAATACGTTTTAATTAAATGTGCTGCATTTAGCAATTTTAGGCAACCCTTCTTTCAACAACTCAGTAGTTTAAAATAAAATGATTTTTCCAATGACCAAAACAAATATTTTTAATCTGGAATTGTCTCAAAATATAAACATCTTATGAGCATAAGTTTTAAATTATATTTTGGTCTCAACTGCTTTTAAATATGCTTTGTGCTCTATGATGAAGCTAATACAATGGAACTATTAGGAAAAGGGAAACCAGATCCCTGCCAAGGTATCAGAGGAGTCACATAATGTTAACTATGCCAGTAGTAGTTTTTTTATTAGAACATTTCATTCTGTAGAGAAATTTGATACAGATTACTGCCCAGTGATCAAAGTGAAAGATTTGTTTTTTTTACAAAAACCATATGATAGCAAGACTTGTAATACCTAAAAGATTGTGAAACACTTTTGAACTTAAAATTCTTAATTTTCTTCATACATATGTAGTGCGGTTGTCATGCTTGGGGCAACTTTTATCTTGTTTAAGATGGCTCACACCAGTGACTAAAACTATTTTGAGAATAATAATAAAAAGCAGCATAAAGCCTTAATAATACAACATGTACAGAATAATCATTTAGAAGTCTTCCCTATAGACTCTGCCTCCTGTCTCTTCCCTTCCCTTCCTGAAATTAGTAGTCATGATATACTTGCATAGTAAGGAGCGCATTTCATAGCCTCAGGGTAGCTAAGTTAAGTGAAATTAACTTTTCAGCTTATTATAACATTAACCAGTCTTGTTTAATTAGTGATTTGTGAGTGAGGGCTTATGTAATGTACTTAAACAAGACTACATAATGGATGTTATTGATTGGATAGGAGGTTGCAGAATTTCACTTCCCAACTTAATCGGCAGAACTCTGTTATGACCAACCTTAACAAAGAAATGTACAGAAAAAAAATACAAAGAACAAGCCAGATTTATGTGAGTGGAAGTTGAGCTCTAGGAAGCTTCTTGAAGCTAAGTGGCAAAATTTAGCGGCATTATAGATGACCTGGACATTTTTGTCAGCTGGTACAAAAGCTAAGTAATCATCTGACTCCCCTGGAGCCATTGTTAGAAAAGAAATCATCATTTTTTAATGTAAACCTAAATAAAAATGGCACTGTAATACATGTGATAGTTTCTCCATACCACAAAGGCCAAGGGGGCAACATAAAGGAATATTGTAGTATTCCCCTTCCAGGAGCGCAAAGGGAAGGGCATTGAAAAGCCCAATTATATACGTAGGATAGACCAGTGTAGAAAGATAAGATGCAGTGATTCTCCCATCAAAGTGGAGCAGAGGACTAAACTTCAATTCTAGATCCAGGAGGTGTTGTGTAATCAATTACTTAGCCTTATCCTTTAATACAGGGGTCCCCAACCCCCAGTCTGTGAACTGGTATCAGGCCGTGGCATGCCAGCAACCGGGCCACACAAACAAGCAAAGGCCCATCTGCAGGATGCAGGCAGCACACAAAACTGCACCCTCCGGTCCGTGGAAAAATCTCTCTCCGCGTAACTGGTCCCTGGTGCCCAAAAGGTTGGGGACCTCTACTTTAATATACATAAATTAACTAGGATAGGCCACACAATGTGATTTTCCAGTCTTAAGACTTTCTTCCAATTAGAATAAAAATTATTACTCAGCATTCCAAAATTCTCATTCATGGTAAACTTGGATAAATTAGTTATATTTTTTGAAAAGACATCTACTTCCAGATTATTTTTTACTTTGTGCTTTAGAAATAGTTTATTCTTTCAGTAAGGTAATAGACTTCTAAAATATTGAATTGTGAAAGTAGTAAGCCTCAGGCATGGAAAAGTTTTCTGTTTTTATCAGAACAATAATGTTGCCAACTAAAAACCAGATTTTGCAACAGAAAAGGTTGGTTGGGGAAAGGTGAGTTTTTTTAACTTGTCATTCTGAATTCTCAAATGCAGAAAATTTTCCATTTCTGGGAAAGGATAATATTTAGGTAAAGAATACTAAACATAGGATATTGTTAGCTACATACAGTAGTGGCCAAAAATTGTGGAAACCTTTTGGGAAAAGTGTATTTTTGCGGTTTGATGGCTAATAATGCCATAAACGTATATATCAATGGAAAGATAATTTAATCAAGAATGTAATGCAACATAATTTGTTCAATTATCTGTACTGTAGTCTATGAAAAGTTATAGCCAAGTAACCAGAAAAAGGAAGCACAACTTGCTTAGGTTGATATCAGGTAGCTTTCCTTCATTTGATTGTAGCCAATGAGCATGAGTGTTTAGAGAGCCAATCAAGTGTCAGCTTGTTTTGGCAATGAGCCAATCAGATCACAGTAGGATTCAGTTATTGATGTCATGTATTGAAGCTGAGAGGAGGACATTTGTCAGTGTGTTATGTGATTGCTATCAAGTTGGTTGGAGTTTTTTTCTTCTTTCATTTAGTGAGCTTGTAAAACATAATAAAATTAAAGTAATGGTGCAAAGAGCTGACTGGTTGCCCAGAAAGCGATGTAAAATAGTATTATTAAGTGAACAAGGCTACAGTTATAAAGAAATTAGAAGAAAAATTGGTGGAAACTTAACCAAAGGTGGCATTTCTACTGTACACTTTTCCCAAAAGGTTTCCACAATTTGGCCACTACTGTAATAATGTTACATTTATTTTGTTCAAGTTTTATTTTCTGCTAAAAAAAGGCATTTCAAAATTTGTCACAAAAATATAATGGCAAAGGTTGGAAACACACCGAAAATTTAAGTTAGCCAAATTTACCAAGATTTCATTAGCAGCATCAACCAATGTTTTAGATCAATAGCTAGCTACCTTAATTAACATTCAGAGACTAAGTTACTTCCGTTGAATGTTTTACTTCCCCAGAGGAGTGTGTACTTTGTTTTCTGAGTGTATTGTGGCTGCTTTAGCTTCTGTCTGATGGACTGCTTTGCTGATTGTCACTAATGCTTAGTTGTTTTCCCTCCCTGTGGTGTGTGGTATTGGGGTTTATATCCTAGCTCTTCATACAGATACTGCAGCTGGACTCCTGATCCGCAGCATTCATTTGGTAACACAGAGGCTCAACGCACAGTGGAGACAGGAAATGAGCATCTCGCTAGCTGCATTAGAGCTTCTCTCTGGTTTGGCAAAGGTGAGCTTTAGGGACTCTTTCTTCTGAGAATTGTTTCTGTTAGGCTGGAGGATTTGTACTCATCTTCCTTTACTTCTTTACCAAAATCTCTTTCCTGGCAATGGCAGAGCTGGCAATGTAACTTGTTCTATACTAGGATCTAATATTTTTCCCCGCTTGGAAAAAAATGCTACAAAAAAGCTGAGCTGAATAGCAATTACATGAAATAAAATTAATTAAAAACAAAGCTCTTTAAGCCAAAAAGGTAAGTATAAAACTCCAGTATCCATGGGGCTTTTGCATTACATTCTGTAGTTGGGTATATTAAATTCACTTGTCTTTTTATGAGGTTTTAACTTAGACTTAATGTGATTTCCTAAAGCTAAGCAACTTCTTGTATTTCTCATATCAGGTGAAGGTTGGCGTTGACTCTTCTGATAGGAAGAGAGCAATTAGCTCTGTGTGCTGTTACATTGTGTATCAGTGTAGTCGTCCAGCTCCTCTCCATTCTAGAGATCTCCATTCCATGATAGTCGCAGCATTTCAGTGTCTCTGTGTCTGGCTCACCGAACATCCAGACATCCTTGATGAAAAGGTGAGTGAAAATGCCACTCTATATAAGCATAATTATTTGTGATAACAACTACAAGTAGTCCTCAACTTACAACCATTCATTTATTGACCATTTGAAGTTGCAACAGCACTGAAAAAAGTGATTTATGACCATTTTTCAGATATACAACTATTGCAGCATCCCTGTGGGTCACATGATCAAATTTCAGATGCTTGGCAACTGGTTCATGTTTATGACCGTTCCAGTGTCCCGGGGTCATGTGACCACCTTTTGTGACCTTCTCACAAGCAAAGTCAATAGGGAAGCCAGATTCATTTAACACCCATGTTACTAACTTAACAGCTGCAGTGATTCACTTAATAACTGTAGCAAGAAATGTCCTAAAATGGGCAAAACTCACTTAACAAATGTCTTGCTTAGCAACAGAAATTTTGAGCACAATTATGGTCATAAGTTGAGGACTACCTATATATCTTTCTAAACTGTGTCTGCATGTTTTGTTTGTAAAAGCAGTACAAATAGGAGTGTAAAGTTTTCATTGGAAAATCACATTCCACCCTTTAACAATTGCCCCAGGAATTATCCTATAGTTTGTTTTCAAAATATACAGTCCACAACAAATGATGACATTTGCCTCAGTTAAACCACAGGAGATAGGGTAAAGTAAAAGGAGCTTGCATGTTCTTTCTTGAATGTTTTTAATATAACTAATCACAAAAGACATGATGCACATATGCATCATATATCCTCCCCCTCCAAAATCTAGTTATCAAAATGACTATATATCATTTTAAATCCAGTACTGCTGAGTTTTAAAAATAGCAAAAAGCATCTTAGAGTTTTTATCATTATAGATTTCATAGTAGTAGGTTGTTTTGGACTCCTCTAGCTCCTAAAAGATATGTTAAATTACAAACTTTCTTGAAACTATCCAAATGAAACCAATGCTAGGAAAGTGAGCTTTTAACTATACAGTGACTGCCCCAATAAACTAATAGTGCAAAGTATGTAAGAAGCTAATTAGTAAAAACGTAACCTGTAGCAAGTTGAAACACTGTAAAAGGTTTTCATTATGATTTCTGTGATTCACACATATGGGTTATCTACTTATTCAGAATCCCTCTGAGACTCTTTCAGAGTTTACAGGAATGTGACAGGAGCCCTGCACAGTACATACCACAAGTCTAAATATAGCTTCTGCTTAATCCTTTCAATTGTTTTGGACCAATCCAAAGATGGAGAATTCTTCTTTTGGTTCCTTGTTCTATTGAAAATCTTATTATCTTATTGTTGTTTTTTTCCATTTATTCATTTTTACTCTACATTCATCCTCATATTTTTCTAAATATTTATAGAGTTGTTTAAGGTCTTAATTAACTTAGTTATTTTAATTCTTTATTAAAGTGTTTTTTTGTTAAATAGCTGAATGGTACAGCATTCCTTTTTTAGGATTGTTTAAAAGAAGTATTGGAGATTGTGGAACTGGGCATCTCAGGAAGTAAATCCAGAAGTAGTGAACAAGAAGTTAAGTACAAAGGAGATAAGGAGCCAAATCCTGCTTCCATGAGAGTGAAGGATGCAGCTGAAGCTACCCTCACGTGGTATGAAAGATTATTGAAAGTAATCCTGTTAACCACAGTATATTTTTCTTAGCTTGATTAATGTTTCTACAGTGAATTTGCTCAGAACAGTGTTTTGCTTAAAAATGGAGAATCTTAGAAATATATATTTAGTTAAAGAATACACTTTCAGTGTCAGCATTTTCCTCTAAAATATTCTTGATTATGTTACTTAAAATTGTAGGCTGTTTGATGCTTTATGACAGCAAGACACTAGTAAAAATGTCATAGATACAATTTATGCTGCTTCCAGCATTCTACAGCATTCTTCCAGCATTTCTACTAAATATGCCTTGACTAAATTATTCTTTTGGTTTACAGCATCATGCAAGTTCTTGGAGCTTTTCCTTCACCCAGTGGTCCTGCTTCTCCTTGTAGCTTAGTAAATGAGATCACCTTAATTAAATATGCTCGGCTGCCTTCTATAAACAAATACAGCTTCCGCTATTTTGTCCTGGATAACAGTGTCATCCTTGCAATGTTAGAGCAGCCCTTGGGGAATGAACAAAGTGAGTAAATATATTGTGTATCTTTTCGTGTATGCATGTGTATATATGTTTGCAGTTAATGAAACTGGTCTCCTGCATTATAGAATATTGTGCTGAACTGTAGAATATTATGAAGTTGTGCCATATTAAATTTGGGGAGTATATGTGATATGCAGCTCAACTTAAGATGGTGATAATTCTGTTTCAGGATGATTCATCCTGGTTTGTTTCAAAACTGATGACTAGGACTTTGCCTGTTTTATTTGTTGTATTCTTCATTTACTAGCTTATTTTTGGAGCAAGGTTTTATTAGAATACGTTGTAAAAAAATTGAAATGTTCTTTTTAGATTGGCTTTTAGGTACCCTTATGAAAAGGAATTTCAAAGGGACATATTACGAAGTAGTTTGCAAACTGAATTACATTATGAAAATGAAAATAAAGCTGTAATCATAGCTGGATAGAACATTTATTATTAAAATCAGTAAATCTTTTAATACTAATTACTGGGGAATGAGTAGAAAACATTGTGCCATTTATGTTTGATTTATAGGTTTTCTATAGACATTCAAGTACTATTCAGGTACAGAATCCAGAATCCTTGGTCTATATGTTAGTATTTTAATCATTGTCAGCTGCCCTGAGTCCGCAAGGAGAAGGGCGGGATACAAATGTAAATAATAAATAAATAAATAAATAAAATCCAGCAGGCTGTTACATTATTAGGACATTTCAGCTGGATTCTTAAGGGTCATTTTTTGTGATCTTGGAGCCTCCAGAACACATGATAAAACTGAGTTGTAGTATAGGAATTCAAACAGAAGCCAGTTATTATTATTTATTGAATTTATTGAATTTATATACCGCCCTATCTCCCTTACGGGACTCAGGGCGGTGAACAGGAGATAATAAAAACCACGATAAATATACGCAAGTTTCTGTTCTAAAATCAAATTAAATAACAGGCCTGCTCTAAAAATACCCCATACAAAACCCCCACTAAAAAAATAACAGACATTTTAAAAATGCTATATACAACATATTATAAACCTACACCCTTAGATATTTTGTGGCTTGCTCCCCAAAGCGTACACATCCGTAACAGACATTTTAAACATGCTATATACAACATTATTATTATTATTTATTGAATTTATATACCGCCCTATCTCCCTTACGGGACTCAGGGCGGTGAACAGGCGATAATACAAATTAAATACAAATTAAGTCTGTTTCTGTTTTAATAAGTCTTGCAGCTTATCTATAAAAATATAGCACTTCAGAGGAATATTTTTTGTTTTGAGTCACTCAGTAATGGGTATGCTATAACCCAGTGTTTCTCAACCTTGACAATTTTAAGGCATGTGGACTTCTTAAGGCATGTGGACTTCAACTCCCAGAATTCCACAGCCAGCAATGCTGGCTGTGGAATTCTGGGAGTTGAAGTCCACATGCCTTAAAATTGTCAAGGTTGAGAAACACTGCATAACCCATTTGATTTTATTCTTTCCTCTTGCTTTCATTCCTCTGGTAAATTTAAGATTGTCCAAGTTTATTTACAGACATAATGGGGGCGGCTATTAGTTTCTTTCCAGTAATTGTATGTAGCTCCTGCACATGGAGCAAGCTTATGCTTCTATCTTCAAATCTGTCTATTGAATTTCTAGCTCTGCCAATTGTGTTACTGAAATTTTTTTGTTCCTTAATTTGTTTACACATGCCCAATGTAATCTTTTTCAGCATTATTATTTTAAGAGGTTACTCATGCTAGTCTTTCTCTTCCCCAGATGACTTTTTTCCTTCACTCACCATTCTAATCCGTGGGATGTCTGGAAGACATGCGTGGGCACAACAACTTTGCCTTTTGCCAAGAGGAGCCAAATCAAATCAAAAGGTTTTTGTCAGAGTTCTGGGTAGAACTAATTTGCTTTCTTATAAAAACCAAGGAGCACTGAAAAAAGTTCAGTAAAGTGCTAATATTACACTACCCCTTAGTGCAATGAATTACTGATTTTAATGCCCCTTTCAGCTTCACTTCCAAACTAACCATGGATTATTTCCTCTCCTATTTATTGTAGAGATCTATCAAAGATTACATTTTTAAAAATTAAAATAACTGATTATTGACTTAGAGACTATTTCTATTACCATCCAAATTTGGGAAATGAAGAGATAATGAATCATGTTCATCCATATATATAGTATGTGTGGTTCATATCTTCCATTTAACAATTGCAACATTTTATAATAGGGCAGTAGTTATGGTCTGTCCTTTACTAATCTAGCGGTAGTTATAAATACGTCTTAGAATCTCTTTAGCACAAGTACTGTTTTCTTTAGTCATATATCAATATTAAAAATTCCATTTAAAAATATCACAAAGTTATTTATTTACTAATACTAAAATAATTATGGTATCCTTGTTCATCATTCCAGAAGATTCAGTATTTGTTCTGGTACTTTGTTTTTTCTCTAAACTAATCATACTCTAATAAATCAAAATTATGAGGGTGGAGAGCGAACCTCCACCCTCATCCTACACCTGAGCTATAGATATTCTCAATTATCGCAAATCAAAATTATGTACCAGAAATAATAGCTGACAGATTATTGTTTAAATTATCGTTATATTATTTAGAAATAATATTTGCATCCATGTGAACGTATGTCCATACCCAAAGATACAGATAAATCTTACTGTCTCCAGTCTTGCTCATATTTGTAGTAAACAGTTTTGCAAAACTCTGATTTTTGGCACACAGTTTTTACTCAACAATCATTTTACTACATCCACATCAATATGAATTTCCAAGTTCTCCTGATTCTAAGAGTCTAAGTTTAACGTAACATGGTCACCGTTTTTTAGCATGTTATTTCCTCCATAGTGAAAATTGCAAACACACACCAGAGAATGATTTTTCAGTTTTCTTCAGTTCTCTTCTGAACCTAATTCTCTGAAGATTCAGGTTTTCACTAACCACAGCTTTGTTATCTGAGGTTTTATTCTGTCATATAACTGCTTAGATTATAAGATCTACCTGCCTACCCAATGTAATCTAAGAAAACATGTTAACACAGTTATATAAATGCAGTTAACTTCCTGCATGACTATTGATACATACACAAAAAGTTAAAAGCAAAACTGACTATCAGACTGTAACATTTCACCTTGTTTACATTACAGCTAAATTCAATAGACTACTAAATTAAAGCGATCTCTCTCATTTCAAGTAAAAAATAGTTGGGAAGGCATAATAAATAATTATTTAAATATTACTTTTCTGATGAATTATGAGTGCTGGCAGTCCCAAATTTATTTCAATCTGTTTCAGTGCTTTTACAATAACAAAATATTAAAACTTTAAAGTAAATGTTAAGATTGATTGTTCTCTTTTCAACAGCTATTTGTTCCAGAACCCCGACCTGCACCTAAAAATGATGTTGGATTAAAATATAGTGTGAAACATCGCCCGTTTCCTGAGGAAGTGGACAAAATTCCTTTCGTGAAAGCAGACCTGAGCATTCCAGACTTGCATGAGATAGTTACTGAGGAAGTATGAAATTTATAATTTCCTGATTTATTTCATGTTGCACAAAAAAACTTTTTAAATTCTTCGCAATTACTTTTACTCTCCTGTGTGTATTCAGATCAGTCTTTCTGGGACAAAATAATGTATTTGTACATCTTTGCATCTATTAGAACTTTCTCTGCTTACTAGATATATAAAGTAAGTCAGTCATCATTTTCAGGAAGCCATTGGAATGGAATATCCTGTTGTCCTTATTCTTTCCGCATCCTGTGAAAATGTGAAGTCAGACAGATTTGATTCTGTTAACATTGGTTGTAATTATTCTTTAACTGCATGTAGGGGCTGAGTAGCAGGTGAATTTTTGTAACACGGCAACTGATGAGCATCAGTAATCAGAATTTTATTAGGTAGAAAGCTATAGCAAATTGCAGCAGCTTTTTTAGCCACCTGGTTTCATTGCTCTTTAAATCATGGGAAACTCTGCACTACACCTTGATCCTACTTTTGGCAATTTTGGAGGTCTGATGAAGCTGCTAAATATGTTTCAGCTGGAAGAACGTCATGAGAAGCTGAGAAGTGGAATGGATCAGCAAGTACTTTATGAGAAATCTATAGATCAGAAAATGGAAGAAGAATGGAGGAAGAAAAACTTTCCTGATCCAGTCACAGAGTGTAAACCATCACCTCCTGCACAGGAGTTTCAAACAGCCCGCCTCTTCCTTTCTCACTTTGGATTTCTATCTCTAGAAGCATTGAAGGTGACTGAAAACTTGATTATTATCTAGTTTGCTTCAAGCACAATCTTAGAATAAAGCCATTGATTCTAATGACTTGTGCTTTAAAATAAAGCATAAAATAAAATAGGTAGAACTTTATAAAGTGGAATAGAATAGTAACTTTTTTAACTGTTTCATGTGTATTCTTAAAAACAAAATCTGTAGGTGTAAGACTCCTACCTTGAAAACGGTACTATTGAGTAGAAACATATGCCATATTTCATAATGTATAATAAGGTCTTGCTCTATATTGTCTGTGTGGGAGATACTGCTACCTATTATGTTAATGTAATTGATTTTTATTACTCCTTTTTTAATAAGACCAATTGAATTGAGCAGCCAGACATTAAAAAATGTTGAACTTTACAAGTTGGAAAGATCATGATAGTAATGTGATGAGCAGATGGGAAGAACTGTGAAGTTTTGTTCTTTGGAGGGAGTTGATAGATTAAACAAATTAGTATGTTAAGCCTGTTCTAAGTTTAAAACACTTTTTTAGGATTTATTTTTTACAAAAAAAACCCCACATACTGCTGAAATTAGTGATTAGCAGAATTTTACAGTAGGTATCTCTGGGAATTCCAGAACAGAAGCAAAGAGTCTCTTGATTGATGTAGGTTGATCTGCATTTTTTTCTCCCATTTCCCTGCTTGTTTTGTAAAATATTGCTAATAAAAGGTTATGGAGAACTTAACAGTAATAGCAATAGCAATAGCATTTAGACTTATATAGCACTTTATAGGGCTTTACAGCCCTCTCTGAGTGATTTACAGAGTCAACATATTGCCCCCCAACAATCTGGGTCCTCATTTTACCGACCTCATTTTACCGAAGGATGGAAGGCTGAGTCAACCTTGAGCCGGTGAGAATCAAACTGCTGGCAGTCGGCAGTCAGCAGAAATAGCCTGCAGTACTGCATTCTAACCACTGTGCCACCACACAGTAAACTTTTTGTGCCGTTTTGGTTGATGGACATTGTACAGTTGTGGCTTTTGGATTTTGTTTTTATACACTATCAAAGCAGTTATTCATTAACAAGCTAAAATAGGGGGGACGCCCTACGCACGGTCACTCATGCACTTGTCACCTCCCGCCTGGACTACTGTAATGCTCTCTACATGGGGCTCCCCTTGAGGAGCACCCGGAGGCTCCAGCTGGTCCAAAATGCGGCCACGCGGGCGGTGTTGGGGGGGACTCGGCGCTCCCACGTGACACCGCTGCTGCGCGAGCTGCATTGGCTGCCTGTGGC